TCTCCTCTGCAACCCCCAGTGCACCCAAAACCTCTCCCAGATCCACCGTGGCCCCGGCCAGGACCAGCTTTGAAGCGATGACAAGAAGGAGCAGTCTGAGGTTTTGGGATTTCCACAGCCAGAAGATATTTAACTCGGAGGTTATGAAGCACCTCCGAGTGCTTTGCTGTCGCTGAGTCTCCCAGTGATGCTGGAAGAGGAGAAACTGTCTGATGGCTATTTTGAGGGGAAAATCACTATTTTAGCAAATCGTTATGCCAGCAAATGATACAAAGCAGCTAAATATGCGATATGAGGTGTTAACATCACCTTTCTGTGCTGTGTGCAAGGGGCGCAAGAATGCCAGGCGGCTCTCTCCATCCCAAACCAAGCACTGGATAATTAAAAGAAAACCCCCAAGATGTGAAATTGGCACCTGCTTTTCCTAAAGCTCGGTAACGTGTTAAATTTAACATGTCAGATCCATGAAATGAGAAAAAAAAAATACAAACTTTAGAGGGAACCCGTTAAACTTCCACCAGAAAAGGAGGAAAGAACCAACCTGACGCACCACCCGACGGGAGAAACACCAACAGGAACAAACTGTCCCCTAAGAAAAAGTCCCCGAAATGGAGTTTTTTTTTCTGCAGAAAATGAAGCAGCTGCCGTGGTGGAAACCAACACGCTCCACCTGGGGGCGAGAAATGATTTTCCCCACGGAAGCAGCACTTCCATGGGTAGCTGCCCCTACGAGCGGGATTATTGCGGGTATTTTAGGTGGATTTTGGGTCTCTCTCAGCCAAAACACGCTCCCCAAAAGGTTTTAGGGGATGGCTGGGCAGCCCCAGTGCAGGTCAGGGATGAGCATCCCGGCTGATGGCTCGGCCAGGAGGGATTGGGACCGGCAGAGCTCCCGGCCCCCGCTTTCCCCCTGATTTATTCCACTACATTTCCCCCCGCGTTTTCACAGCGGCCTCGTTGTTTAATCTCCCCGTGCCTTACTGCTTAACAGCTCCCACAGGGGAACAATTTACCCACAGGCTTCAAAGCAGCTGATGGAAACAATCCGAAGATAGGTATTTAATGCAGCACGTTTGCTAATGTACGCCGTGGGGGAAAAGCTTATTTAATACCGACCGATTTTACGGAGGCAGCAGTTACGGGGCACCGGGCTGGCTCACTTGCCTTTGCTGCGACACGCTGCGAGGGCTGGAGAACACCGACGATGCTGGGAAGCTGCACCAAAACCCACCCAAGCCACGATTCTTCCAAACACAGTAAAATTTCCCCAAAAAGTCAAGTTTTGCTTCTTTACGGCAAATCGCAAGCTGCCTGCTCCGCTCCACCAGGACCGAGCAGGAGCGTCCACCCGGACCCCCTGCTCCACTGCCAACTGCTGTTGGGCTTCAATAACTTATCCAAGGAGCTGTGGATAAGCAAAATCTGTTTGGGGAACCAGATTAGTTTTTATCATGGAGAAACTCATTAAAACAGCTTATTTTAATGACGAAAACTTGGTATGATGGCAAGCACCACGGCACGGCCGTCATCACCCTGGGGAGCACCTGCAAGCGGCCCCATTTCTCCTTCCCTCTCTCCCCGCTGTCCCCTCTGCATGGGCACAAGGACCCTTTACGGTCTGTGTCCCCAAAAAAGGGATTTGGGAATGCAAAATTAAAGCATTTTGCACTTATTCTGAGCTCCTGATGAAGGCAGAGCAGGCCAGGCTCACAGAACAACCTTTTTTTTTTAATGAAAAGTGTGCACAGAGTTCAGAGCTCACGGGATGGGCAAAGCCTGATGGCATCTTGGCCGGAGCATCCTGCAAGAAACTGCTAGAAAACACACAAGATGCGACAGCGCCATCAATTATGAATAATAACGGGCATTTTTTATGAAGGTCTGATAAAAAAAAACACAAAACAGCTTCTTCGGCGGAGCGCGGAGAGGAAAACACAGCAGGCAGAAAAAAATCAGGCACCGAACAACCTCGATCCCTAATTCCTGAGCATCCTCCCCCGAATTTACCCTCCGAGGACGCCGCACGGATGCCGAGCGCCTTCGCCATCCTCGCCCTCGGCGGCTGGGGCTGCGGCTCCTCGGCCACGGCGCCGCAGAACAAGAGCGAAGATTTACTCCTGGCCTAAATTATTCAAAAGAAAAGGGACTGCGCATCTCTAACAAGGCATCGTTTTATGAAGCAAGGTTAACATTTTTACTTGATTCAGGAGAATATTATAAACTCTCCGGGGTCCATTTGAGGACTTTCTACTTTGAGCAAAGGCACGGACTCAGCACTTTTGATATTATTTAGAGAATAAAATTAACCCTTAATGGCCCAGGCTGGTATTTCTCCTCCCCAGTTAAATATGGCCCGCTCAGCAATTTCTCCCCATATATAATTACAGGCTGCTATCCATCATCTGTAGGAGAATGCTTTTCTGACACTCTAAAAGTGACGCGGTAAGCACTTTTCCTAATAGAATAAATATTCTAAATATCTCTTTTATATTTTCATTTAAATTGGAATATTTTAAAATAATTGTAGGGCCGCTGCCCGCGTGGCTAGTGCTGGAGGGAGGCGGCAGGACAGCTCTGTTTTCCTTCATGGGAGATGTTTACCCTGCACCCAGTCCCCTCCGCGCGCGCCGCCGCAAGAAGTAATTAGGCAAGGACTAATTTATTAGCCTCTCCCTCCACTCTTGCTGATGTCCCGCTTTTCTTCCAGCTCTAACTTTTGGCTTTTCTTCCTCTCCTTTGCCTGCTTTTCGCTCCGTTGCTGTTTTTCCCTCCAGAAGGGATGGGTTTGCTTTGCCAAAGGTCTTGTCCTCGGTTGTGTCGGGGTGCTGGGACAGCTCGTGGGGAGCCTGGTGGCTCTGCACGGTGACAGGTGACAGCTCCAATATCTCCACCTCTGCCCACCCACCCCAACACGCCATGGCTTCGCCTTCTGTTTGGGCAAAACCACCTCCTGGGCGTCTCCGTCAAGCACCCTCATCCATTTGGGGCTCTCCAACTCCCATATCCGCACCCAAGGATGGTGCTGAGACCTCCCGGCGCCTCGCTGGTGATACCTCTGTCAACCTGAGCTCCTGGGATGGAGAAGGAGGAGAAGAGCCCAAAGATCTGAGCTTCTGACAGCTCATCCTAGCAAATCCCCCGGTGAAAAGGAGCCCAAAAAGGTTAAAAACCTCTCCAAGCAGTCAGTCTGCGAAACCACACTTAGGCAGACACTCACCCACACGTATCTATTAAATTCAATAAAATAATCTTGCTCCGTTGGCTCACTGGGGCGCTTTTGGGATGGTGCCTTGCGATCTGGCAGCCTTTCTCTAACCCAAATTATTGTTTCATTAGTGGCTCGTTTATTTTTTTTTCAGCTGGAGAGCCGATTTCGAGCAGTGTTTGCAGAACTCCTGGTGTGTTCTGAGTATAAAGGCTTCACCTCGGGGAGGAGATGTTCCCCAAAGTTTGTCTCGTCCTGCTTGCTTGCTGTTGGCTCATGGAAGAGCCTGAATTAAACCAGGACATGTCTGTGATGTTTTCCTCCACGTAAAGCAAATAAATCCTTGAGGATATGGAGAGAAGAGGACGGTTTCCATCCTCTCCTAGATCAGTGCTGGGTTCATCGGGATGCTGCACAGAAAATGGTCAAAGGATGGAGAGAAATCCCACCACGTGTTACAAAAAGCTCTCAGCTACAGCAGAAACCATCGTCTCCATAAATCTGAGAGTCCACCCTGTCTAAATATTCAACCTGCTGGCAAATTTACTGGCTACCCCTCCTGAATTATGAGTGTCTGTTGTGATGGTGTCGCTGGTCTCATGAGTTTGGGATGGCACCGAGAGGGACCAAGTGAAGGCGGTCTACACCTTGTTGGTGGGACCCAGAAGAAAACCATGTGCTCTAGGAACAAAGAGCCCAAAATGGTTTATAATCGGAAGCCAAACAAATGTTTAAATGAATAGAAAACAGCAAAGATGAAGTATGAAGGTCAGAAACGCCCAGGAGGTACCAGGAACCTTCTCCAGTGCAGCTACAGGAGGGAGCCCATCCTCAGCAGGAGGCTAACGAGGTCTCCCCGAGAGCCAAAGCAGCACCACAAGTTTCCTCTCATCCCTTTTGTCCTCAGTCATCTCCCCCGTGGCCCTGGAGCAAAGCATCCTCACTTAAACCACCCCGAAGTTAAAACAACCCTGGGGAGGAATTAATTGCACGGCCAGCTCTCCCCCTTCCCACGGAGCGAGGGAAAAGGAGAAAAGGCATTTACGAGGAAGAGGGAAGATGTGAGATGTCAGATAAACCCTAAATTTCTCCTTTTTTTTGGTGCAACTGCCCCCATGTTTTTTGGAAATGAGCAGCCATCAGCCAGCTCCAAGCCCTGGGCTCGCTCGGGCTCCGCGTGTTTCGTACGGTGCCGTAAGCTCGGGGACGTGTTGTGTGCCTACCCTGGGTGCACATCGAGTCCCTGCAGGACTTCGCCGCGTTGATCCAAGCAGAAGGAGCCAAGGATGGGAGCCGGACTCCAGGAAACCCCCAGGAACGTACCCAGGCACAGCTGGAGGCTCACGTGCTGCGGTTACCCGAGGAAGGGCGCTCCTGGTGCTAAAGCTGAGCCACAAGAGCTCGTGCTCAGCTTTAACAGAGCCAACTTGACTGCAAATAACCATTAACCTCTCCGTGTGCTCTGTGTAAACCCTCTCCCTTCACTTCTCATCCGTTTAACCGAGCAGTGCCTGGGGCTGGGGCTGTCTGCTCGTGCACAGGGCTCTGGTATCACACCGGCAAACATCGAGGACGCCTCTTGCATTTGTTCCCTTTCTGTTTTTCCCCGCCTGCGAAGAAACAAAGCCGCTCTGCCCGTAAACCCTTTGGTTTTGCTCATCCCATCCAGGTGTTCGGCAGCTTCCAGCTCTACGGCTCCCTTCGGTGCCGTAGCTGGAGTGAAAAACAGCTCGAGGCTCGCCGGCACCCCGAGCAGGCGGCGCGGGTCCCTCCCGCTTCGGCAAAACCTTTTTACCTTTTCTCCCATGGGGCAATAGCCTTTGAGGAAATCCTGGCACACTTCAGCCTTCCGGGAGACGTAGACGTGGCTGTAGGGGCAGTTGCTGTTGCTGCAGATCCCCTTCAAGAAGTAGGAGCACACCGGCATCTGCAGGGGCGAGAGGACGACAAACCCGTTAGCGCTGCCCCCAAGCTCCTTGGCGATCCGGATCCGTTCCGACGCCCGGCGCTGAAATAAAACCAGGTGAAATTAAATCAATCTCTGCCTTTTGCCAGCTGCTGATCTCGGAGATATTTGTAGCTCTTTGAGTGGTGCCTCGCAGCACAGCTCCTCGGTGTTACCTGGGCCCTCTGGATACCGGCACCGACGTTCCCGACTAACCTTGGAGAGGAGAGGAGGCTCCTGGCTTGCCCACGATGCCAAACTGAGCATCTCGGGGACCAAAAACACCGGTCCCGAGGGGCGATGCATTGCCTGTAGCTGGAGCAGCCCTGCCACCTCCTCCCCTGGGAGCTTGCCAGCACCCCAAAAGCCAAACCAGCAGCATGGGGGTGCCCCCGCAATTCAGCACGGGGGGAAAAGTGCTTTTTTTTTTTAATTTTTTTGAGTGAGTTGCATCACATCAAGGCACCCCCCAGGGCTGTGAGCGAAGGGGGTCCCTGCACACCGGAGGAGGGATGCTCCAGGAGCGAGGGAAAGGAGGAGGAGAGCTCTGGCTCCTTCTGTCCCAGTGCATAAATTCTGTGGGGCGCAGCTCCCCACCTTCAGCATCAGCCGGTGGAAAAAATAAAAAACCAAAACAAAAAAAACAACAAGAGAGCAGGGATCCTCCTCGTCCTCCGCCTCAAACCACCAACTTCACCTTCCGCACAGCTGCTCTAATTAAAACCGAATTACCAGCCCGCTGCAATATTTCACCGTCCTTAACTCACCGGCCGCTTGCCGACGGGCGCGGGCGCTTTGCACCGCCTCGCTTCGTCCCCGCGCCCGGCTCCTGCCTCTCAGCCCCCTAAAATGCAAAATTTACTTACTGCTCGGCGCCCTGCCGATCCCTCTGCTCGCCCGTCTCAGCCGGTTCGTGTCCCCAGACCAATATTTCCCCCTCTGCGCCAAGCGCAGGCGGAAAAGTCCCTTTCCCTGAAGGGCACGGCGGGGTTTGAACCAAATTGGCTCACTTGAGGGAAAAGAGAGAGAGAGGGAGAAATGGCAGGAAGGAGGGAGGGGAGGGGGGAAAGCCGCGAGAGGAAAGAAAACAAAGGGTGCTTTAAGAGAGAAGAGTTTATTTTTAATTGTCTTTTAACTGCAGGCATTAACATAAAGGACAGGGCTCTGGGGCTATCTTTTTTGTTGGTGGTGGTGTGACCGTAAATGATTCCCTTAATGTAGTTTTTGATATAGAGCCCAAATTAGCTCTAATAAAAAGGGATAATAAAGCCAGCTCTTAGACAAAAATAAACTCCTCCTAGCTGTCAAGCCTGAGCCATTATCAAGAGGAAGCAGCGCTCTCATTTCAATTAACCTTGTTTGCACCCCACTACGTCCACACAAATAACAATAACATTAATTCAAGGCACTGGTGCGGTGCGTCCATATTAGACAGCTTTGACTATGTACACGCTTTGGAGCCAGCAGCTAATGAACCCGAAACTCAACGTGAATTTCCAAATTGCTCACAACAGAGTTTTGAAGCTCTATTAGGGAGAAAAATGCTGATTCTTTTCGAGTTCCTCAAGGGGAAAAGCTGTTGTAGCAGCAGCAGGCGGCTGCCCGAGCCCTAGCCTCTCGCTAACCTTCAGTCACAAACCCGTTCATTCACTTTTACCGGTTCCCCTAAATCATTGGGATGGGCTGGAGGCTCTGCCCCGCCGCACGGAAAGCCCCGAGCAGAGCCTCTGTGGCTGCTCCTCAGCCGAGGGCTTTGCACCAAGCCCCCCTGGGGTAAAAATCCCTGAGCTTCAGGTTCCCTTGTCCTCCAGAAAGGTTTTTCTGCTACAGTTTTTCCACTGCTGGAGGGGCAGTTTTGCTTCCCAAGCCATCTGCGAGGCTTGGTGCCCATCTGGAGCAGCGCTCTGCTCCGAGGCAGCGAGCAGAGAGCATCCTCGGAGAGGGACCGTGGTTGAGGAAGGAAAAGATTTGGCTGTTTAGGATGGGGAAAAGCTCTCTGCTGCCTCACTACAGTCACAGCTGAATCCACACAACCTCCGTGTATAAAACATGAGGATTGTCCCCGGTTCTCAGTGGGGAAACTGAGGCACGCACCGGTCGAGCAAGGGTTTTGTCCTCAAATCAATAGCTTGGGATCAGGCACCCCATCCCGGTGACTTCCCCCCCGAGGTGGGACACACGATGACAACACAAAAGCTCCCCCACTGGCACCCCGAGCACCCGGGTGCCCCCCACATCTGCAAAGAGAAACGGAGAACAAATTAACGGGGCCAGCCGCAAAAACCTCGGGCACCGCCGGGGAGCCCCCAGCCACCACCTCCTTGAAATTGAGCACCAGGAAGCAATAATTAACCCTATTAAAGCTCCAATTTGAATAGAGGACCTGCCTGGCATGAGGTGTGAGCGGGGAAAACGCTGCCTTCCTCTGCCGAACGGCTCCTCCTGTCTCCCTCCCCGGGTGTGCGAGTTGATAAATGAGGCTCCCAGCACCTCTGCTAGTAATCACCCGGGTTAACAGGGAGCCACGGGAGCTGAAGAGCAGAGTCGCCTCTCGCTTTGGGCAGCCGGCTCCCCGCGGCTATAAATCACCCTGAGCAGGCTGGAACTCCGCGGAGGAGCTTGTTTCTCTTCCAGCTCATGCTGACGACGAGCACGGGGCAAGCGGAGAGCTCCGAAGCGCTCCGGGGGGCCTAATCCCGCGACAAATAATCCTCCTTCCCCACCGAGCGCGACGTGCGTGGCTAGAAAACACCTGCTCCGAAATATTATTTGTTTCGGAGGCACGACAGAGGGCTGGCACCTGCCTGCTTCACACGGAGGAGCGTTGAGGTAAGAGCTCAGCCTGCGGTGACGACGCTTGGCGAGACCACGCGTGCCTGCTAAGGAGAAGGGCAAGATGGGCAGAGACCTCTGTGCCTCGTGGGGTCCCTTTGGTTATGTCTAACTCCTAAATCTTGCACAGGTTTTTGCCCTGGGACCAAAACCAGGCTGAAATACTCCAGGAGTGCTGAACTCCCTGGTACAGATGGAAGGTGATCGCCCCGTGCCATCTGGATCGGCGCCGATCCTTCGGATCACGGGCATGGGCTTGCGTGCACACCAGTTATTCCAGTGTAAAGAAGCAGCAGCTCTTTTACAAACCATCTTACCCCAATATCCACTCCAAATTTCTGCTACGATATGCCAACAGCCAGTTCCTTTGCAAGCCTTTCTTCTTTCTTGTTTTTTTTTTTTATTCCTGAAGTCTCGCTACATGTTATAGGGGAAAAAAACCAACAACTTCCAACAGCCCTCCTGCCTTCTATCACTTCTCATCCCCATCCGTCCTCGTCGTGCCGTGAGTCAGGGAGTGCAGCTGTCCCCAGTCTATCTCCTCTACTTTATATACTCATGATTAAGTGACTCTGAAGAGAGAGCCATGTAAAAAACATATGGTGCTTTGTGCCTCGCTCAGAGCGACTCCGCTCACCACCGGCATAACTTATGAGCTCCTCGCCGACAACGAGCGTGCCGTATGCAGGCAGGGGGGGAAAGGAGACAAGAAAAACTGCACGGCCAAAGGCAGCTGCTGGAGGAAAAGGTCCTGTTTTAGATGCTGATGAGAGCCAGTGAGCCCCGTGGGTTAAATCTTTTACGGGCAGTAATTGTGCTGTGGTTTACCTACACGATGCTGGACAAGGGAATGAGGGCAGTGACCAGAAAATCACAGGATGGCTGAGGCTGGGAGGCACCTCTGGGTCCACCTGCTCCAGCCTGTGCAAGTTCCAGTCCCTGTCCTGCCCTAGGCACAGCTGTGAAAGTTTTGGCAAAGCCACTTCCACCAGTGTGCCAAACCCACAGCCAGCAGGGCCACAGGCTCATCATGTACTACGAGGAAAGACCGAGCTTGGTCATGGGTTTCTCCAGAAAAACTGAATTCTCATTTACATCCCAGCTTTTGGCACCTCCACCCCGACAGTGGGACCTGTCACAAATCACTTCCCTCCTGCAGGGACCCAACTCATCGTATTTTTGATGTTCCAGTGGGAATAACCTTCCTGCTCTTTTCTGAGTGATTCTCTGGCTGTAGCAGAGAAATGTTCCTGCAAATCCGCTAAAACAACACGTAAACACGTGCTCGATGCACATCCCAGCTCAGTGAAGGATCTGAGTCCACACTTAACCTTCAGCACCAAATTCACCTCAGCTGAAAAGCCTGAGGTCTCCAAAGCTATGTCCGACTGGAAATCCTAGCCACCGTACAGAGTTGAACCTGCTAAATTGTCAGCTGATCATCACTAAAAGAAAATCTAATTATTTTTCCACCTGGCACTGTGTAATAAAACCACAGAGCTCAAGATACGCCAAGCAGGATGAAAACGAGGATGAAATCAAAAACCATTCTGCCAGGGAGTTCCTCTGCATGGCTTTTTAGAAAGGTTAATTTATGCCTCAAAGCTCCCGGATGCTGCAGCATCGTCCTTGTCCGACCCCAGCGTGGGCTGATTTGGAAGGAAGGGCGATCTGGCAGAGGTAAATAAGGATTAGACGTAGCAAACAATGCTCCCGTGCTCTTTCCCTCTGAGTTTAAGTACTCCTTAACCCAACACGTTGTTATTGATACTTCCAGCAGCCCCAGGTGCTCTGGTTTCCAATCCGCTGCTTAACGCACTAATCTACTGATTCACCACGCTGGTTTAAGAGGCGCACTCTGCTCCCATTATAAGCTCTGACCCCGTAATGAGCCTGAACAGCTTGGCAAGCAAACTACAAATGAACTCTATTTGAAGCACTCTATAACACAGGTTTCCCTACAGCCGTCATAAACGCTGCCTCTGTAGGTCAGCTCTCTCATAAAGCCGCGGCGAGCTCGTTAGGAAGCCATACAGACCTTGTCTTTGGAAACTTTGTGGGAAAATGGGCAATTCCCGTCCGTCTTCTTGCACGTGCCACGGAGAAACCTGCCAAAAAAAAAAAAACAGAGGGAGAGGGCTGAGTGTGAGATCAGGTGGGTCACAAAATGCAACTTTTTAACATTGAGTCTCTTCCTGGAGCAATATCCCTGCAAATTAACATGACCGCTGCAGAGTTCATTGTTAAAGCCCGTAACAGGCCATAAATCGGTCCTTTTCCGGACAGATTTTGCTCTCTCACTGTATTTGGCTGCTTATTAGCAGTCAGAGCAATGTAGTGAATGACAGAGATGTAGTGAATGACAGAGGTGGAGGGTGCAGGCACCTCAGGGCCATCAGGTCAACCCCCGCCACAGTAGGGGCCTACAGCAGGGTGCCCAGCCCTGAGGCCTAGTGGGTTTGGGGAGCTCCCATGAGGAGTCCCCCCAGCTCCTGGTCCCAGTGCTGGGGCTCTGGCACCTGCTGGGGACCAGGGGGAGCCTCCCGAGCTCCAGGCTGGGCCCACGGCCTCCGCTGATGGCCCTGGGCCCCCCTGAGCAGAGCCCGGCCCCGGTCTCTCGCAACTCCCTGCAGGGCCGCAGGGACGTGGGGGAGCTCCCCCGGAGCCTCCTCCTCCCCAGGCCAAGCAGCCCCAGCTCTTGGGGTCTCTCCTCATGGCAGGGGGGCTCCAGGCCCTGCCACCCCTCAGGGCCCTGTGCTGGGCTCTCCCCAGTGTGCCCAGCGCTCTCCCCAGTATGCCCAGGGCTCTTCCTAGTATGCCCAGGGCTCTCCATCCCAGGTCCAGATGAAGACTCAAAACAGCACAAGCAGCAGAGATTCCTAAGGCTAGCAAGGAGCACAGCCAACCACCCGATTTACTCTCCAAAATAAAAAGAACAAAGGAGTCAAAATGAGGACTTGGTAGCCAGCATCCATAATCCTCTATGTCACCAGAAGTAATCCTCACACCTTGCACACGTATGTCTTGGTGCTCATGAGGATGAGAAACTGAGTGCAAGCAAGTAAAATCAGTTTTAAAAAATCATTTAAAAAAAGAAAAAAGTCACTTTTCCTTCTGTATTGTCTCCCACAGAGCTTTGTGCAACCCACCAGTGATTTCTAGCACGGCAGCAATTTTAAGGAGAAATTAAGAGTTCATCAGTGGAGTTGGCTTTTCTACGCTTTTTAAACGACTAATAATATAGTTTAATCAACTGTTGGGCAGGTATAATGAGCTGGCTGCATTAATCAGTTCTCCTGTAATAAATTACCAAGTCTCTTAGCTGCCTGGCGTCACAGGCTGAAGGACTCAAACCTGTTGCACAGATCTGAGCCGGTCTGTGCAACACGTCAGCTCCAAATGACACAAATGTAGTTGTGGTAGTAGTAGTAGTCATAGTGGTAGTAGGGTGATGGTTGGACCAGATGATCTTGAAGGTCTTTTCCAACCCTTATAATTCTATGAACTGGTCTGTGATAGATGCTGCCAGGAAGAAATCACCTGGTGCATGGCGAGGGGAGGCTCTCGGATCATTCAGCCAAAATCCAGGCTACTCTGACCGTCTGTCCCCATCAACTCCAACAAGAATTATCCAGAACCCATGAAGTAGTTTGTTCGAGTTGGATGGCCTTTTCAGGGCCTGGCTAAATATTTTAGCCTCAAATCCCACCTTGCAAACTCTGATGGCGTTCTCAACCCGACAGTAGTAACTAATGGCTAAGGATTATTTTTCTGATTATATTTTAAATATATTTTTATATAATAATATATATATTATATAATGATATAATATTTTATATAATAATATAATATTTTATATAATAATATATATTTTTATGTTGATTTGATCTTATTACAGGTTCTTACTACAATTTTTTAAATCTTTGTAGTTCTTCTGCACTATGATATGATGTGATTACTTGGCAGGCATAAGTGTACAGGTGGTGGTATCCACCTCCAAATTGTGAAGTAAATATTTCTGTAGTTCCTAGAAGCTGCATCAAATATCTAAAACATGTACACTTAACTTTGAGTCTTAATGTGGTGTTTAACTAGCATGAATAGGTCTCAAATGTTGCATAAATTCAGAAAAGAAAAAAAAAACACACCAGAAGAGATTAAATAGATCAGGATTCTCTTGTCTGACAAGCTTGGATAGAAAGGGAAGACTATATAGAGTTATAAATGGTGCCTAGAAGGCGATTAGGGAATTATCCTATTCTTCTCGTGAACGAGGAGGTGCCTAACGCAGCAGTCAGGCAGGCAGTTGAGGAGGCTTTTTTCACGCAGAGCCCAATTCAGTTACGCAACCCATTGCCACAAACATCACGCATTAAAGAAAGGACAAAATCCATTCACGAAAGAGAATTGCTGACTATTACAAGATGCTTTGGTGGCAACCTCCAGCGACTGCAAGCCCTACTAGGCAGCAGGGTTTCACTGCCAGAAGCTGAGAGGTCCCAGAAAAAAGAAAGAGTCCTCTGTGAACCTCATCTCGTTCTCCTCCTCAAGGCACCTTCCAACCCCAGGGCATTGGGCAAACCCTGGGCCTGACCCAACCCAGCAAATCTCATGTTCTTACATCTCCATTATCAGGATTTTTCCCCAAATGAGCAAGCTCTGAAGCCATCTGCTGACCCAGTGATGGCTCAAAGCACGTGGATCCTTATAGCATCCATCCATACCTGGTGCAGACGGCCACCTTCTCTGGATCATGGATGTAGGGGCAGTTCTCCCCGCGATTACACCTGCCGAAGCGGTTGTAGTACATGCAGTACTCCTTCTTCTTCTCTTTCTTCTGCTTGGCTTGACGAATGATGGCCAAACTCCGCTGAACGGCACGGCTAAACGGAGCGAGACAGACAGGTTGTGGTAACACTTCCAACTTCAACGCAACGTCATAGAACAGCATAGAGAAAATAGGTCAACTGCACCCAAATCACAGAGAAGCACAAAGTTCAACTTTGAAAAGGGAGGGAGATATTTAGAAAATTCGTCCCGGGGCATAAGCTCTAGCTCTTGGTGACTTTTGGACAACTTCACCCCGAAGCTTTAAAAATCTGCAAGATGAGGCCAATTGTAGAAGAGGTCGTGATGCCAATCACGTTTTGGGCTGTACGAGCAAGAACGCAGCTGGGAGGACGAGGGAAGGGATGAACCCCCTCTGCTTGGTACTTGTGGGACCACCAGGGCATACCAGGCCCTCTTTGGGACTCCCAAGACAACACAGACAGCGGAGGATGGCAGTGAGGACAGTGAAAGGCCACCAGGACAGCTGGGGCTGGATCAGAGGCCATGAGCTGATTTGCTCACCCAGGAGAAGACAAAAGGGGGATTTCATTGTCCTCTGTGATTATTTATGGCATGGTGCAGAAGACGTGGAACCAGACCTCCTCAGAGATGCGGTGTAAGGATGAGAGTCCCTTTGGTGCCAGAGCACCTACAGAGACCTTCAGGGATCCCTCCGTGACCACGACCAACTCCAATGACTTTGTGGGCATGGAGAGCTCCATGCAGTTTTTATGAGCACGATGAGACAGAAAATATCCTTTTTTTTTTGTCCTGGGCTCACGCAGCACAGGCTGCAAACACCAGGCAACTCAGGGGGTATATCAGCACAAGTCCTGAGGGTCACAGTAGCATTACCCACGATAAACTCGCTCAAGGCAACGATTTTAGGGGGGAAATGCACATTTTTACCTCTGTATTGACCATCTGCAGCTTTCCAGTTAAAATGTGCTAAGAAACCTTCATGCAGCCCAAAATGCTGACTGTGAAAGCCCCTCTATATGGCATGATAAGGTTTTAGAAAAAAAAAGAGTCTTTCCTTGCTGAAATTATGATATTGATAAACACGGTGGCTACCTGAGATACTCAGCCAGGCCACCGGCACGTGGACCTCGGTGGCCAGCGCTGAATTCGGACTCTACCACCGATTAACTTTGACAGCAGGTTTTAAATCAGTCGGTATAAATGATAGGAGAGGATAAAATATAGCCAGGATCTGGCACTATGTCTGCGTAGACATCTGGAACCAACACGCTTCGGGGATAAATTTCAGTCTACTACAATTAAGCGGGGCTTGTCTGCAAGAGCTCACGCTTAAGGATGCGATGATATGCGGCACATCTGTGGCACAGAAGCCAGGCGATGGGAAAAAGTCAGGAGGGTGCTGAGCACCAGCGATGTGCTGTTGTGCCCGGGGTGCTTCCCTGCTGGTGCTGGAGGTTACCGGTTTGCAGGGGCAGAGCGCCCGGTGAGCACTGGTTCCCAGTTTGCAGAGGCTGAGCACCCAGTGAGCACTGGTTCCCAGCTGGAAAAGCTCAGCAGAGCCAGCAAGAAGCAAAACCTGCAAGTTTTCCGGGCTGAAAGGGGATGAAATTCTCTGGATCAGGGGGAAAAAACACCAAACTGCTGTGATTCAGGTGACGGTGACGCTGCTCCCCTCGAGAACAATGCAGTTGTTGTTTTAAAAAGGGACTTTCGGAGAGGGCTGGAGCAGGGTTTGGCGTTCCTTGCCCGCAGAAAGGTGCTGATATCCCTTACTAACCTTTCACACTCTTTCAAGAGCACCTTTCAAAGCAGAAACCAGTGGATTTTGATGAGTTTACAGCCGCCTCGTGGCATAGGATGGGGGAAAAACAGTGGTCCTGTGGTCCTTCACCGAACAAAGAGTCGGTGAAACAGCTTCGTGCCAAGTTTTTGACCCCATCCTGAGCATAAAGCATCCGGAGGGGGAGCGTGCTGATCCTCCCCGTGGGTACAGACCTGGCGATGTAGCGGCTCGTCGTGGATCGGTTCAGGATACCAGATGGGGAGAAGCCAGGACCGCCGGGCGTGCCGCTCAACCTCACTGTTTGAAACAGAAAGAGAAACACAGGCACGTTCAGGACAATTTGCTCCGAAGCGAGAAATTCAGCAGGAATTCATGTGGTCCTTGGCTAAGAGAGCAGCCCTGAGAGCTGAGGATGCTCTTTGCAAACCTGCCTGCTGCTGGCACCTTCGTGCCGGCCACACCAAGGATGAGCCCTACCAAAAAGGGCTCCAAAATCCATCAGGTGCCCTTTTCCTCTGTGCTCAAACCTGCTGGGAAACCCCCCCCAGCAGGGGGCTCGCGGTTTTCCAGGTGGCACGAGCGCGGCTCAGTCACTCACCTGCCAGCCCGGGCGTGCTGGGGAGTGAGTGAGCGGGATTTGATAGCTCCCCCCGCGCTCGAGCTGTCACTCTGGCTGCTGGCACCGGCAAAACCCCAGCTGTTCCCTCGGAAAATAAAAAGCGACGGCGCAGGAGCCATGCCGGCACGGGTGGCACGTGCCCGTCCATCAGGGCATCAGGCAGCCCTGATATGGGATGCAAGCACGGGTCTTTGTTGTGCAACCACCAAAAAATAACTGGGTGTTTGAGCATTATTTTGTGTTTTTTTTTTTTTTTCTGTTGTTTTGGGGTTTTTTTTTTGGCTTACAGCTGGGGTCCTGCTTCCCCGAGAGGTGCTACAGAGCATCGCGCTCGAGCAAGGCTGCCCTTCAAAACGATGCAGGGACAGAGACCCAAATGAAAGCCAGTTATTAGGGTCGGGATAAAGCCTCCCTCAGACCTCTGTAATTACATTAATGATTTTTAAAACAAGCTCAGAAGAACAAACTATCCCAGGAGCGGGCTCCCCTGGGTGGAAAAGCTTTTGGGTACGCGTGCGTTGCCGTGCCCGTGCGCCATCCTTTTAGTTAAAACAACCTGCCAGCCACATCCTTGCCCGAGAAGGCACAAAATAAATCAATAGATAAATAAATAAAGGCTGCAACGGTCTCACGCAGCTGGGTTTTAAGTGTATATATACCCAAAATAAATCCATGGCTGATTTTTTTATTTATTTTTTGCAGTTTTAATCCTCCCGCAAGAAGGCTCGCTGTTGTTATACGCAGGCTAAAACCACTGAAATCGCTGGGAGGACTGAATGTGTGCGATGCTGGCTGGTCGACGCACGTCTCCCGGTACAGGTGACCGCGCTGTGAATTAATTTGCAGCCTGCAGGCACTTTGCACGCCTGCGAAACGCTCCCATCCATCCCAAAACACGGGGCAGAAGAGCCTGGTCGGCGTGCCGGCCACATCCAGCGAGGCAGCAGCCTGGCAGCAGGCAAAGAAACCTTTCCGACATGCTTCCACGCTGTCCAACCTCCTAATTACTCACCCAGAGTGGAAATCCTCGCCCAAATAATAGGGAAGTGCCTAAATATTTACCCAGGAGGAGCCCATCGGCTGCGCAATGGCACCGGTTCGGAAGCTCCCTAATTACGCGCGGAGCCCGTTAAGGCGCAGCAGCCTGGAAAGGGGCGAAGCCTCATTTCTCTCTTCCATCTCTTGGGATTTACAGGAGGGTGTTGTTTTTAGAAGCCTTTCCATCACGTAAAAAATAATTTAAATGCTCAAAGCAACGAATGAGGGGATGCAGGCAGGGGGATTTATCACCGCACCCCTGTTGGAGGGTCCAAGGAGCCCAAGTTTTTCTTCGAAGCAACACAAAAAGATGTTAAGTGGTGAAGGTCAGAGCAGGACGGAAGCAAGGCGGAGATTTGGGGTCTCTCTGCATTACCAGAGTTACCCACGCAGTGCGAAATTGGGGCAGAAAAAGACACAGAGGGCTGGAGAGGGGTTAAATTTAGAAAAAGGAGCTGAGACGTGCTGGTGCGCGATCCCCCGGGGAGCACGGCAGCAGGCTCTGGATTAAAGGGAACAAAATGCTGCAACCATGCCCCCAGGGCTTGACTCTGATCTTGGGGGGGGTCTCACGGGGTCCTTTCTTCAGATGCGACACGATTTCGCACGAGAGGACCTCAGCACGCCGGGGAGAGCATCGGCGTCGGGGCCGAGCGCCGCCGGTCCTATAAAAGCCCCCTTGCTGCAGAGATTGAAAGGCAGCGAAGGCAGAGGGAACAACAGGAGGGGAAAAGAAAAAAAAAAAAAGAAGAAATAAATAATAAAAAAAAAAAGCTGCTGGGGAGAGCATCAAGGAACTGCACATTAAGGGCTTTTTAACTGATTACACCCAGCACGGCGGCGTCAGGCTTGATATTTTATACCCCGCGTAAGGGACAGGTGTTTTTCTCCCTCCGCCTTTTCTTTTTTTTTTCTTTTTTTTTTTTTTTCTTTTTCCTTAATGATCGAGCCGGGCTGAGGCGCATCATCTGTAAGGAAAGCCGCAGCCCGTGCAAACGGGGGCTGCTCCTCTCCATGCATCACCCGCAGCCGACGCTGGCTGCTCCGGCGGCGCGGTGACGGCGAGCGCTGGGAAGTGATTGTTGTACCTAACCCAGCCGGGAGGCTCGGCGCGTCTCTCCGGAGGGAACGGGAGCTGTCATGTTCATTAAATGCATGATTACAGCTATGATTAATAGCAGGGGCTACAGCCTAACTACTTTTTTTTTTTTTTTTTTTTTTCTCCCTTTCGCTCTGAAGGAATCCGCAGGCGAGCAGCTCGACAGCCTGGCTCCGCTCCCTCGGTTTTTTCCGCGGCGCCTGCTTCTACCCGCTCCAAAATTGGGATTTTGGGAGCAGAAAAGGGGAAAAAGGAACAACCCAGCCCTGCCAAAGGGGCTCCCCAAGCACCAAAAGTGGTTAAAATGAGCGGGGTGGAGGCTGTGCCCCTCCGCCACCACCCCTACCTTAGTCCTGATGTTTTTCCCCGGAACACAAACCCAGCTTGCAGCTCTTGGTTCCCTCCCCAGTCTCCAATCCCGCTCCTCCAGGGGAGGATTTCCCCTGAAATCCTTCCAAATTGTGCCTGGGAGCCAAGCTTGGTGCTCCCAGGACGTGGCACGGGGTGCACGAGGCACCCAGCTCACGGCTCCTCTCACCCCAGGGCTCCTCCTGCAGCAGGGCGCTCAGCACCTTCCTCCGCATTCGGGTCAGCCCCAAATACTGCAGAGGGATTCCTGTTAATTATGACCTGCTTAATTATTTAGGAACGACTTCAGTGCTCGTATCGGGGGTCCCTTTATCAGGACCTCAGCACCGCTGCGGTGGAAACGCGGAAAGAAGCGCGTGTGCATCCGATGTAGGCGATTTGTTGGGTTTTTGTTGGTTTTTTTTGGTTTGGTTTTTAATTTTGTTTGTTTTTTTGGGGCCGTGTGGGTACAGAGATGCCATTTGTTTCGCCGGGTGCTGAACCGAAAGTTTCGAGGCCGGCACCCGGTTAATTTATTTCTTTAATTATCAGTCGTTTAAGCTCCTTCCACCGTCGCAGGCGATCAGCACCCGCGGCTGCTGGGGGTGATTTATTTCATCTCCCCGGACGGCACGAGCCCTCTGGAAGGGAACAACGTTAAAGGGGATGCGGGAGAGCAGCTGGGCACGCTTCCCCTCCCACCCCAACAGGATCGAGCACGTCCCTGCTTCGGGCGTTTGGTTCTTAACGAGGCACGCTCAATTAACGAAGCGTTTCGGCGGTGCTGCGTGACCGGCTCGGCGAGGCGAGGAGGTTGGAAATCTCCCGAGCTCTGCACGCTTCGGTCCTCGCGGAGACCAGGTCCTAAACCCGAGGGGCTGAGCTTAAAGGGGACGAGGATTGAGCAGTCCCCAACTTAAAGGGGTTGGGTTCAAAAGGGACCGAGGGACTGAGCGGTCGGACAATCCCAAAACCAAGGGGTTGAGCTCAAAAGGATCCGAGGGATGGCGCAATCCCAAATCTGAGGGTCTGAGATTGAAGGAACAGGGGGATTGAGCAATCCTAAAGGCAAGTGACTGAGCTCAGGAGGGACCAAGGGATTCATGAATCCCAAAACCAAGCCATTAGGATCTAAAGGGGATATGGGATTGAGCAATCCCAGCCCCAAGAGATTGAGCTCAAAGGGGACGTGGGATTGACGCCGGCAGCGCAGAGCGTTTGCCAGCGGGGATGTCGCTGCCCCGATGGCAGAATGGGGAAACTGAGGCAGGAAGAGCTGTTACGCACCAGGATGGAGAGAGGGAACGTGTTGAGATTTGGGAAAGGCCCCCCAGCCCCGTAGGGTTGAACTCGGCCGTGAGTTTGAGAAATAATTCGCTCTCCTGGTGGCAGAGGCACCGCCGCGAAGCCACCGCGGCGGCATTTAGGGCGCACGTGGCAAGAAGCTGAAGCTCCTCTTAAAGCTCCACTGCTGGGAGCTCGGCCGTCGTGGGAGAAGAGAGGGATCTCGAAGCCTTCTGAGTTTATAAAAAATAAAGAAATCAAAAAAAAAAAGAAAATTTTGACGATAAATAAGACCTTAACACCCGAGGAGCTGTTGACGGCCCAGGGGCTGGAGGCACCAGTTCGGGGCTCAGATAAAAGGTCTCACCTCCGTTAAAAGGATTCCCATTTTTTATGCCATTTCCCCCATTTTCCTACAATTTCTCTGAATTTAACACATCCCCCGGCAGCACGTAGAAGTCTCCAGGAGCGCTCCGAAGTGCCTGGTCCCGTGGAAAAGCAGCAGGAGTTCAGGGATTCGGACACTTCGGAAAATCCCATCCCAAAAAAAACAAAACAAACAGACCTCGCTGACCCCAAGCTTTGCTTGGTCCACGACCAAGCGAGATTTACGCAGCCTTTTTCCAAGCCTCCCAGGGCTGACCCTTGCCCACCCTCCTCCGGACTCAGCCCCAAATCCGAGCACACAGACAGTAGGATCGCAGACCCCAGAAGAAGCCCTACGGGTCTATTTTCTCCCCCACTCCCCTTACCAGCCACGTGTGAGCACTGGGGGGAGTTATTTACTCTCTGTTGCCTTTTTCCTTATTTTTTTCACCATTTCCAACCTTGCCGGAGCTGCTCAGTCCTCCTGCTGATGGCATTTTTGTTTCCCCTCCCTCCTTTTGCCTCCAAACCCTGCTTTTTGTGGGTCTGTTTGATGGAACCGGTACCCATGGGGGGCCAGGAATAACCAGTTTGGGAGCAAAACCGTTTGACCCCAAGTAAAAACTCAAAAACCACTTTAGGAGCAGCTCGAAAACCCGGTCCTGCCTGAGAGCTGCTCTTGAGGTGTCAAGCACCGGGGGAGCTAAAAGACAAATTGAATCGAAGCTCAAATACCAAATTCCACTTCCTAAAAAGCTTATTTTTTTCCCCCAAAACAAACTTTTTGGGGTTCTCAGAGAGAGGTGGATCCTCTCAAATCGGGGGAAGGCGACGAGCCGCAGCCACGCAGCCTGGGGACGAGCGGCTGAAAGCCAACGCCGGCACCAAGCCGGGGTCCTGCTGGTTTTGGGCGCGCACCAGGAGAAATTCTCGCTGCTCACCTGCTCTGCCGGGGCTCTTGGTGCTCAGATCTCTGCCCCGGCCGGGGGTGCTGGAGGTTTTGGAGAGTTTGTTGGCCGACACGCGGTACATCACCCCTCCGATGCAGCGGTAGCCTTTGCTCCTCCATCCTGGTGGCACGGGCTGGGATTTGGTGCCCTGCGGCGAGGGGCGCGCTTGGTTTAACAGGAGGGACCTGTAGGAGAAGGATAAAGGCACGGTGAGAACCGATTCGGGAAGATATCACGAGGAAAAATTGCTTTAGAGAGTGAAAATTGGTGGCAATCCCCCAGGGGAATCGGTGGAAGAAGCCATGGGTCCGTGGGACCTTCCCGGAGCTTAGCCAAGATTTATGGAGCTCTAAAGGCTTGGATGTTCTGGCAGCTTCACCCCAAGCCTGTCTCTTGTAGGGTTTTTACCACGTCCCTGCATGGGATGAGCTGCCTGAGGGTGCTGATGGTCCCTGTCTAATGCCTGGAGGGGATGCCAGGACGCAAATCAGACCCTGGAAGCTCTGGGGACCCTTCTCCAGCCCCACAGGTCCCCGTTACACCACCAAGGGGACACAATCCCCCTCCAGCTCCACAGCGATGGGGCAGGAGCCGTGCTACAGCCCCAATTTTTAGTGTCACCAGCACATTACCATCACCACGACGTGCCCAAGCTGTCCCCAAGGGCGAAGGACACCTCCAGGAATTTCCCAAGCGTCACCCTGGGGGCGAATCCCTCCTGGCCAGGGCTCCTCTTCCCCCGAAAACCCCAAAACCCCAAACCCAGCTCCCCGCACGACCAGGAGGGAGCCCCCCCGCCCCCAGCTCGGTGCGGTACAGATGCCGTTCTGCAAACAGAGGCGTTGCAGCCACATCAAATCTACGCCCAGATCAGTCGCCTTCGCCATTTAGCGCTAATCCAAACAGTAATTTGTTTATGCAAATCAGAGCCCTAATTTGGTATTAGCACAAACTACGCTCGTAATGCTATTAGCGGAACGTATATAAAGCGCGCATTAAGCGGCGACTATCTGTAAATTAAGGGCTGCTATCCTATCAGCAGAATGCAAACCCCGGAGAGCATTACCTTTAAATGAACATGTGCCGCCGAGAGAAAAGGGAATTGTAAAATGGAATAGTTACATTTCTTGGTGCTTAGTGTGACAGCCGATTCATTTAATAGGGCTGTTGCCACTGGCTACCGAGCTGGGCGAATTCCTGCCAGGCGGAGAGGTGGGGATGGGGACCTCGCAGAGCCGTGCTCGGGGCTCAGTCCCCGGGCAACCCCTTTCCTTGCTCCGGAGATGAGCTGAGAGCCTGAAATTGTGCAAAAGCAGCAGGAGAAGGCAGCACCACCAAGCTGAGATTGAGCACCGAAGGTCCCCAGGGTTTTCCCCAGCTCCCCGCGTCCCCAGATTTGCAACGCTCCAGCTCGCAGCAAACCTCGGCGCGCCCCAGCCCATTAAGACCCCAAGAAAATCTCCCTCAAGAAGCTCAAACATATCTCACAGAGCCCCTCCAGCCTTTCCGAGGGAGAAGGAGGCACGGGATGCTCGGTGCCGATGGTTTTTGCGCTCCCGTTGCGCGTGCCATTGAGCTATAAGCATCGGTCCCCTACAAATCTGCACCCCTGTACTGCTGACGCGGACACATCGGGTCGTGGCAAGGCTGTTTTGGTATTAGCTGCCTGTAAAAAAAATGGCATTCTGTTTAAAAAAAATATTTCAGCTCTCTGCAGCCCACCAGCAAAGTATATTCGAAGGTCTCGAGTAGAGGGAGATGCTGCGAGCAACCAGAGCATCTCCCACGCCGGGCGCCCTGCACACCAAGCACAAAATTCCACTCAAAGAGGTTTGTCTAAAAAACCCAGAAAATGGCTCAAAAGTGACCCTCTGCAGGCCACTGCCGTGACTCCGGGGTGTGCTGCAAACCTGGATTTGGGTAGAAACAGAGCGTTTTCTTGCTCAGAAAGATGCGGCTGTATCCCTAATCCCCGCACGCACGCCGCGTTAGGGGAACGGTTGGTGACATGAGGTTTATTTACTGCAATTTCAACCCAGAAAGCGCAGCACGACACCAAGGGAACCCTACTGATGGAGACACGGAGCCCAGATGTTACCATATTGCTCCTCTTCTGCCTCGGGGTCTGCAGAAGATAACTCAGAGCAGCGCTCCTGTGCCCGGCGCGCTTCTCCAAAGAAAAAAAAACAACAAAAAAAAAACAACACATAATTGGGGTGCAAAACAAAAGGCTGGGGAAAAACCCTCCTGATTTAAGCAGCAGCCCAGAGCTGGGGTGGTCACAGCCGTAGGGCATCTGCCACCATTCTCACTGCTTCCCCAAATCCTCCAGATATTTATTTTCTCACTTTTCCACGCTCACTCGAACCGCTGAAGTGGCTGCGCGCCGCAGCGGCCCCCGTTCGGAAGTCCCCGTTTCTCGAGAGTTATTACCCGGTGGCATCTGACCCCTCGTATGTGAGCAGAGAACAAGCAGCTGCTGGCAAACGCCAAGCAGCAGGAGCAGCAGATTATAAAACGCGTTAGACTTTTATAAACCGATATTAGAAAAAAAGAGGAAAAAAAGGAACAAGGCAGCGCACCGGGAGCAGAGCGGCGACGCGCACAGCAGGACCGTGGGGCCCACGTCCCTCCCCTGCAGAGAATTTCCAAGGATTTCCGCAGCTGAAGGCATTGCCTTCACCCAGACGTCCTCCAATTTGCATTTTTGAGGGAGAAAAAGCATCTGTGAGTCCCGCTGGACCGAGACCTGACCCCACAGGAGGCTTGGCCACCTCCGCTTCCACCCTCTGATGGGGCATCGGAGCGGGGACAGCCCTGGCACCCCCTGGTTCCTCGCCTGGGAATTCAGTGCTAAAAACTCAAAAAGTTAAGGGAGAGGAGGAAAAAAAAAAGAAAAAAAAAACTCAAAAGGAGTTGTAATCTGCTCCAGTAACCTTTACAGCTGTTTCCCCTGCTGGAGACAGACAGACGGAGCGAAAGGCGCCAGGAGGTTGCAGCACTGCTTCAGCAGTTTTATTGTCCGTCCTCGCCTTGCTTGCAAAAGATACGGCCCAAACCTTTGCGGGGAGAGATCCCAAACCCCAAAATACCCCAGACTGGGTACGGTGTCTGCCCTAAAACCCCAAGCACCTGCCCTACTCACTCCATGTGAGCACATGGCAGAGGAGATGCCACGGTCCTGGAGACGCCTCATGGGGACTTTTGGCTGCTGAACGCATGCGTTAGGGTGAGCTCTGGGCACTTCTGTTTTTTACTTCCAGAAGCCCTAGGCCATTCAGAACTGAAGATAAAATATGTTCTGTAAAGAAACCTCGCTGGGTAACCTTTGCCCGGGGAGAAGAATGGGAAAAAAGGGAATTGGCCAAGCAGACGGAAAGCCGCGACCGCTTCGGGTGCTGCTCGCACGCGGTGGCGTCGCCCCAACGTCCTCGTGCCACCAGCATCACCTTCATGCATCCGAGGTGACACCTCGACCTGGGGTCGGCCACCACTGGGCCAGAAGAAGGGGACGAGGCCTCCAACGGAGGGCAAGGAGCCTGGCAAAAGCCCTCGTCGCTTTTCATCCCCGGCGGTGTCACGGCACTCAGCTGAATTGTTACCCTAATGGAAAGGACGGCCTTTGGAAATGAACTGTATTGAGAAGAGAGGATAAAATTAATGAGATAATAGCCAGGCCAAGGACCTGAAGAATACGCCGGCCCTCGACACGAGGGGCTTGTAATTCCCTTTCTGCAGCACAAGCCCTCGGATCTAAAGAGTTCTCCCGTCCATCCAGAAGACCCGCTCCGGCAGGAAATTTCATTAACGCTGGAAAATAGGAAAGGTATTAAGCGTGGATAATGAAGGCCAGAGTGTGAACAGTGCCTTAAGATAGTCTTCTTTCTAGCCTTTGTAATGGGAGGCATGAACTTTCCCTTCAAATCCATTTCTAATCCATTTGAAATACTACAGCAAATTATCTTCCCTTCAGCCCGAAAGCGGCCAGCCAATTTACTCCGAATAGAAGTGACAATGCTACAGAATTTATCGCCATAACCTTGACTACACAAGGTTGAGGGTTGTCTTTCCCCCCACCCCGGGGTGGACAGGGGAATGAAAATTTTTAATGAAAAGGGGGTAGAGGGACACTATAAAAATGTTTTAAAACAGCGTAGAGGCTGTTGGAGGTCCAGCGCCCACACCAGGGCCAGGCTCGATGGCGAAATCTCAACGCCTACACTAAAAACGTTAGGGGTGCAGGTCCCGGGCTAATAAAACTCTCTGCAGTTGGAGATTTGGGCTCTTCCATGCATCCCTCGAAGCAGCAGAAACTTTGTCTGAGCCCAATGATTTCACGCAACCTCTTCCTAAATGCCCGTCTTGACCAAGTCTTGACTTTCTTCTTCTCTTTGCTGTGGTTAAACACTGAGCGGCCTCTTTGTGTCTCTTCTGCAAGAGTTTCCAAGTGCTCTGAAGTCCATGTCTTATTTCTTCCAACAGCAAACCCAAAGCGAGAACTGGATCAAATGAGGGAGAAAAGGGAAAAAGGGCTCAGCCAGGCAATGGGAACCCAACGGTCAGCGGCTGTGCAGTTTCCAAACACGGCAAAACTGCTGAAAATGGAACAAAACCACCAAGACTTCAGCCAGGAGCCACCACGTGACACAACTGAAATGCACTTCTCTTAAATAAAGACCAATAAAAATAAAAAAAGGGAGATTTCCAAGCCAAAATCTTGGGAAGTGAGGTTAGCAATCAAGGATGAATTCACCCCGGAGCGCGGCGGACGCTCACGTTTAACACCCACGTGCAAGCAGGGACAAGAAGATCTCATCCAAACCCCCAGAAGCAGGCACGAACCCACCTATATTCGAAACAGGAAAATGCCTGATGCACATAAATCTCACACAAAACCGAGAGCAGGGGAAGAGCATCCCGACGGCGTTTCAACCAGCTGAAACGGAGAGGATTTCTCGGAGCTAACGGCAATACAAGTGCCTCTTACAGGATGGTTTTCTTTTACTTCTGGATATCTTCTTTAGGCTTAGCTTATTTTTTTTTATTTATTTATTTTTTCTTAAAGTAATCCTTACATAGTAAGAAATCGCATTTGCATGCTGGCATTTGAGGAAAGAGCGGATCACACGGGGGCTGGGCGCGCTCCGGGGCCCGGCGAGGCAGGAGGGGCAAAGCACTGATCTGG